TCAATGTTAGCAAGACGGTCCATATGAGAAAGATCAAGATGAGCTTACATAGTAGAAGAAGTAGTTGGCACCGGTCAGCTGCTGGAGCGCCTGCAGAGCCATACCCAGGACGATACGGTAGAACATGCGGGGGGCAGTGATGAACTCGTGCCACTTCTGGCTGACGTTCTCGGCCTCGAGCTGAGCCCGGATCTCATCCAGTTCGTTGATAATGACACGGTGGTTCTCAGGAACACCATAGAGCTTGGACATGGTGTTACGAGCCTCATCGATACGGCCGTGACGGTAGGCAAAGCGAGGAGATTCGGGGAAGAAGACCATACCAGCACCGAGGGCGAGAGCAAACACGAAGGTGATACCCAGGGTAATGCGCCACTGAGCGGTGCCCTCGAGGTTATGCGTTCCCAGGTTGATCAGGTAGGCCAGGAAGATACCCAGAGTGACAAACAGCTGGTAACAACTGATCATGGCACCACGGATGTGGCGGGGCGCACTCTCACCCTGGTACATGGGCACCAGGAGGGAGCAACCTCCGACACCCAGACCAGTGGTCCAACGGCCCATGACCATCTGGACCCAGTTGCCCGAGGGAGCCGTGATCTGCACGATGAGACCGATGATAAGGATGACACACCAGACGGTGATCGACCACTTGCGACCAATACGGTTGGCGATAGGGGCAGCAACCAGGGCACCGATCAAGGTACCGATAGACAACAGACTGGTCAGCAGACCGGAGCGGACATTGCTGAGATACCAGGTGCCATCCGCCTTCTGCATACCGTACCGGCGGAGGTAATCATCCTCCTGCTCGAAACCGGCGATCTGACCGGTATCATAACCGAAAAGAAGACCTCCCATGGAGACGAACATGGTCAGGACGAAGGAGCGCAGCGTGACACGAGGAACAGGGGTGTCCACGCCCATCTCCATCGGTTTGTCGTAGCCAAGCGTTTCTTGGCTGGATTGTTGCTGGGGAGCGACAGCAGGAGTGATGTGCTCTCCATGGCTGGCAGAGGATTCAACACCCATGGTGGAGACGGGTGAAGACTGCGGGGATTGTTTTGATTTTGTCCAAGAGAGTAATGATCAGTGAGACCGAGCCCAAAGGAGCGGACGATAGGGAGATGTCGAACCCGTGAAGGTAGAGAAGGGTTGAACTTAATCACCCTTTTAGGAGATAAATGATTTGTTTGGGAGTAAGGAAGAAGGATGCAGATGCCTGATTCAGAAAGATCTCATTCTCCGGGGGGGAATGAGCAGCCTTTTATGCCTTTGCTCTGTACGAAAGAGGGAGGGGAAATTTTCCATCGGGGGAAAACAGATCCACGCCTGGGCAGAGAGCCGACATGTGGGGAGCCGACATCAGCAGCTGCCGGGGGGGGGGGGGGGGAGGAGAATGAGACCAGGGCTGACGACTTTCTCAAATGGCCCTAGGTATACCGTAGAAGGCCGGCCGAAACCGACAGGCCAGTCAGAAGTGACGGAATACTGGGGAACGACCGGAGTACCAGGGGGAGTTGCAGTACTATCGGGTTCCACGGGCCTCTTTCGGGACAGTTAGAAGAGCAGGTGACGGATCTCGTTGGCTGACGGCATCGGCACACGGGGGGGGTAAATTATTCTCTATTAGACTACTAGAGATTGGAAGGGGTTCGACGCCACCCGCCTGCATGGCACGGGAGGCGTGTGTCAAGAAGCCATCCATGGATTCCCCAGATCGATGACATCGGTTTCTGGATTCTGGTTTCCACGAGGGAAGAAAGAGATGCTGCTGTCGTACAGAAATGGATTAGTCTGGTGCCATTTTCGATATCCGGGGAAAGACAGGTTTGGTTTACAGTGAGCTGATGGTGACCGACAGGGGTGTGCGAGACTCGTGCATCAGCCAAGACAGCAGAGAAGAAGAGAAGAACGAAGAACAAGGAATCGGCAGGTTGAGACGGGCATCAGCGGCGCTCCAGACGGGGAAAGCCTGGCGATGGATGAGCCGTGAACAAAAAGGCATTCTTGCCCAATGTGGAGATGCCCCACTACCACTATGCCTCTTCGGGGCACTCACCCACAACTCCAGAGTTCGGCAAGCAAATGACCGCGCGTGGCCCGGAAAGGGTCGGATATCCTGGAGTGACCATCGAGTCTGGAGGGCCTGGAGGGCCTGGAGAAATTGAGGGGAGTGCGATACCATATCCGTTGACCGGTGAGTCTTCAATCCCATTATCCCAGGCACTTCCACTTCCTGCACAGTGCTAAAAGGAGGGGAAAAAGAGGGGAAATGCGGAGGTTAAAACGTCAGTTATGACCACCTGCAAACCAGCGGAGAATTCACGCACAAAACATGGGGAATTTGATATTTTACTGCAGCTGTTGTATCTACTAGGTACACGAAGCTATTCCCGACAGCGTCAATTGCTTTCACGCCCCTTCAACCAATTGGCCCTCGTCTACAATGACCAACCGACTTCTGGTACTGACATGCTCGCTAAGCCGACCGAGAGAAGCGTTTCGGCCCCGATGGTCGGCATGACGAGAATCGCCATCACTGCGAGAACTGCTGCCAGCGTCCAGCTGACTGCCATCCCGACCGAGCCGAAACTGATTGGTGGCGTCAATGGACTCGACCGGTTGGCTCTGGAATCCTCCACCAAGCTTCGTGGCTGCCTTGGTGCGAACCTCGCCTAAACTCCTCTGGCCAGGGTTCTGATCCTTTCGCGCACAATGACGACAATGGCTTGCTCAGGCCGCCCATTGAGTTATGACGCTATTCCCATGCACTGTCCACATGGTCTATTCGTCTCCGTCTCCGTCTACCTCTACGTACTGTGTAATTGAAAAAGTAGCAGATAATCTTGTACCACGTTAAGGATCCCCCATCGCTTCCCCCTGTGGGATAGAAGTTGAAGATGGTTCCTGACTATTGTTTGCCGGTTCCACTGATCATCCAGAGGCAATCCCCTGAGTCCCGAGTCCCTCTTGCAGAAACCCCCTTCAGCCGGGTAAATTGTCATCCTCAAGTAGGGCAAGGGCTGCTGCGCGCTCACGTGCTCGCTCGCTTAGCCTGGAATTCCGGATGACGTATTAGACCGCTTACTCACCAGTTGCCGTGGAACTTTCCTAGACAGGTGTCTCGGATCAAATCTGATCGAAATTCAATCAAATTCTTGTTCGGCTTCTGGAAGCTGGACTCCCGATCAGACCGCCGACTGCCGGTAGCGATGGGTTCGAGATCATGGATCGGACAATTGCTGTAAGAACCAAACCATTGAAGTTGAAGCCATTGCCACCAGGTCAAAGGCTGGAAATGGCACGGCCGGAAGCAGGCATCTTGCTTAGCCTCAAGCCAAAGGTATACAAGGTTTGAGATAACTCGGCCGTACGATCGTACCATAACGGCCTGCTACGGGATTGCCATAGGATATCATCCGGTCTGGAGAGTCACTCAACTTCATAAAAATCTTTTGTAAACCATCGATCCTATTCGCCGATTGTTCATTAGCCCTCCGCACTGTACTCCTTACCCCATGCGAACTACGGGACACCATAGCACCCGAATGGCAGCCCCGGGAAAAGTCATTCCCCACATCGCGCCAGTCCGCTCAACGCCTCAGTAATCTTTTTCCGAGATCCGAAGGGCGCCCGGTCTCAACCCACGGCGCCAACGCTATGAACTTGCCGAACGCAGGCCCAGCACGACGAGATTTTTTCTCTTGAGGCCCGATCTGTCAAAAGCAACGGTCTCCCGATCATCTGGCAATCACAATTACCGATAGTGTTGGTCGGAGACACTACCGAAAGAGTGAACTATCTCCGAGTTCTTTGGTAGTGACGACACTTCGGCAGAGCCCGCACAGCCCATGTGAATCTAGGGAGTTAATTTGCTTGGATGGGCACGAAACCTTGATTTCTGACACAGTGACATGATTCTTGATGGGATTGCGGGTTTCTCTCAAGCCACACTGGGGGACCATGTGATTCTCCTCCGTGCGTCACCTATTACCTTGATACACTTGCTTCGGATGTCTCCCGAATCCACTGGCTTTTTGACAGAAGCACGTGGAAATCTGGCAGTTTGGACTGAGAACTAGATCGAAGGTTCGAGGCCGTTATCTTCGGTGCACCCTACTTCCAGCTCGAAAAAAAAGGGGATTTTCCCGAGGTCACTGGCCAGGTGATCTCTTTCATCTTACTGGTGGAAGGCCTACTACATGGCGTATTCGAATCTTGCAAAGATTCTCAGGTGTCACGTGCACACCATACTCGTCCTTGAGAACTTCGATATAAGGCCTACATGTGTGTGCTTGTCAGTGAGCTGGCAGGCGCTTCGAATTTCTTCCCGTGTTTTTCGCAGTTCTCGAGTCGGGCCTATATGATAGATACGAGCGGCGTTGAACGTAGGTTGCACCTCGAATCGTCCGACCGCATGATTGTCGGATAGCCAAATGTCATATGTACCCATTGAACTCAAGCACACTACGCATACGTTGTCTTGTATGATTGAACTCTCCATTGCAATCTTCGTGACTTATAGATATTTGTTGAGACATGCTGGTCGCCCTGCAGACCGGCGCCCGATAAATGGTTCAAGTATATATTTCTCCGCTGGCCGAGTCCTTCACCGGCACTGGTGCAACGACGCAACATTACTAGTAGGATGGAACTGCAACTCCTGGTCTTGATCTAACGACACACAAGACATGGATATCACACATGATAGTCGGTTATTTGAGATGGACCAGTTGAGGCCGCTCTTCTCCACGAAGCATCACAAACTATACATAGAGCGTCCAGATAAAATCACTTGAAATTGATTTTGTCTACTGGGAGTCTCATGTGAGTACAGCGCCAGACAGACCCACCCTCGCAGCATCATGCCTAAATACAGCCTAGCGCTAGCGGGTCGCTGCCCGCGCGTTCCGGGGTAAATAAGCTTAGATTTCTGTATAGTGTATACTTCTCAGACTCCAAGGGGAGATAGAGATCTCTTCCATGTTGCGTGCAGTTTACGAGTGAAGTCTTCTAGTCTCTCTGACTTTTTACGTTCATGTATCGGCAATGACTTTGTTTTACTCCGCAAGTAGCCTGTCTTTTCCAATGCTACCTACCACCATTTTCATCAGCCTTGCTTGCAGCTCTCTGGCCAGAAGATCTACTGCAAACCTCAATGTGTCGACAACCACAATGACTCAGCTTGGATGTGATGCAACGTGTCAGACTTGCTTCCAAGCCGGATTGGCCGCCGATGTTAAGATGTTCGGTACGAGCTTCGATTCCGGATTCTACAGCACCGCAAGCAACTTTACTGGTTCTGCTGCAGGTGATCTGCTGAATTTTGAAGCCATCGAAACGGACACACCCAACGTGATCACCGGAATGACCGCCTACCGCTTCCACTATGTACTACACGGGACCTGAATGGCAGCCTCGTCCCCGCCACCGGATTCATCGGGATGCCATATACTTCGTTCCGACCCGATGCGAAGTTTCCCGTCGTCGCCTATGCCCACGCCACCATTGGTGTCTTCGCTGGTTGTCCTCCCCCCACCACCACCGCCGACCTCTACGACTACCACAGCTGGAGCCTCCTGCTTGAGAACGGGTACGCAGTCGTCGCGCCGGACTACGCGGGTCTCGGAAATAATGCCACCCTCCATAAGTACCTCTCGCTCCCTGCCCACGCCAGTGACCTTTACTACGCCATGGTCGTCGCGCGCAAGGCTTCTACCCTACACTTTCACCTCAGAATAGATGAGCGTGGGTCACAGCCAGGGAGGCGGGGCCGTGTGGAAGCTGTCGGAGAGTGAACTGGTCAAAACCCACGGCGCGGGAGAATACCTGGGCACCGTGGCTCTAGCACCCGTCAGCAGGATCTACGATATGACAGTGCTCACGGCTGGAACCGTTCTGACAGCCAGCAAGTATGCGAGCTATGATATCACCTACGAAGCCCTTTGGCTGTCCCTCGCGCTTAAGCGCGTCATCCCCAGGATCGACCTCTCCTTCTTCTCCGACACCTTCCTCCAGCGCGTCGACATCGCTGAGCTCGCGCAGGCATGCTACTATAGCATCATGTCGCTAGGGTACGGTCTGAGACCGTCAGAAATGATTAGAAACACGAGCGCACTCGTGAACAATGTCCCTATTCAAGCGTGGCAGAACGCAATGGCCCCTGCCAATGGAGGTACATCGGATACACCGATGCTCATCGCTCAGGGTTTGAATGACACCGTTGTCCTACCGCAGATCACCGCCCGCTCCTTCAACGCGAGTTGTCTATCGGGCAATGAGGTTCACATGAGCGTCTATGCGGACATGGACCATACCGGTGTCTTGACGGCGAGTTCTCCTGAGTGGCTGGGGTTCATTCGGGATCGCTTCGAGCGGAAGTCGACTAGTGACAGGTGTAGTGTCGTCCAGCGTGCATCCTTTGACAGGGCTCATTTGGTGACTGAGGCGGAGTCAAGTGAAGACACTAGTCTCTGATGTGAATGAATACCGAGTTGATGTTCTTGGCTGCTTTCATGAATAGGCACCAGCCTTGATCCAGACTGAAACGATACAACTTCATATTCGAAGCGGCTACTAGGCCATGTCTTAAGTCTTGCTCTTGTATAGGTCTGTCGCTGCGCAAACGCGGGTAGCGTCTGGAGCAAATGTCCACCCTGCCAAGATCGGTTTCAAGTTTGACGTGGAAGACCCACTGCTACCCCTTGAGGCATATGATTGTTGTACTTCGTTATGGTGTGATCTTGCTGTGAGAGTACTATGTAGAAAGCATTTCCTGCACGGCATACGGCCCGACCGTCCAGGCAGATGACTCTGCCCCTCAACCCCGCAACCACTAAACAACTCAATCGTTTACCCCAGAACCCATGCAGAACTGCATGCCCACGGTCAGCTAGAATGTGGCTAAATCAAGCGATGACTTGTCGCGGCCGAAGTGGAACAGACCCTCCACCACTCACGTCATCTGAAACACCAGCCGATCCGCCATTCCCAAATCAGCACGGACAAAACGCCAGCAGAGCCGAATTGATTAACGGCCCTGACGATCACCGTCTCTCCGTTCTATAAGCGGATATACAGTGGATTTCCTTCCCTATACGAAACAGACTCCCCTCAATCCTCAAGGAGCTTCTCATTTTAGAAACGGAGGATGGTCCGATTGCAAAGATCCCGGATCAGGGTTCTATAAGAAGAGGCAGGTTGGCGCAGGAAGCATGAGATTCAGAGCCAGGCGACTCGACACCACCACAGAACCAAGATGAAGCTTTCCCACATGCTCCTCAGCCTCGCCAGCCTGGCGCTGGCGACGGCTCTTCCCCGGACGCCGAACCACAACGCGGCCACCACCGCCTTCCCCAGCACCTCGGGGCTGCACTTCACGATTGACGGCAAGACGGGCTACTTTGCCGGGACCAACTCGTACTGGATCGGGTTCCTGACCAACAACGACGACGTGGACCTCGTCATGAGCCAGCTGGCGGCATCCGACCTCAAGATCCTGCGGGTCTGGGGGTTCAACGACGTCAACACCAAGCCCACCGACGGGACGGTGTGGTACCAGCTGCACGCGAACGGCACCTCGACCATCAACACGGGCGCGGACGGGCTCCAGCGCCTCGACTACGTGGTGACCTCGGCCGAGAAGTACGGCGTCAAGCTGATCATCAACTTCGTCAACGAGTGGACCGACTACGGCGGCATGCAGGCCTACGTCACGGCGTACGGCGCCGCCGCCCAGACGGACTTCTACACCAACACCGCCATCCAGGCCGCCTACAAGAACTACATCAAGGCGGTCGTCTCGCGGTACAGCAGCTCCGCCGCCATCTTCGCCTGGGAGCTGGCCAACGAGCCCCGCTGCCAGGGCTGCGATACCTCGGTCCTGTACAACTGGATCTCGGACACGTCCAAGTATATCAAGTCGCTGGACTCCAAGCACCTGGTCACGATTGGCGATGGTAGGTTGACCCGGATCAGACCACTTCTCTCCATCAGAAGCTAAACAATCTTCATTGACACAGAGGGCTTCGGTCTCGATGTCGACTCCGACGGCAGCTACCCCTACACCTACGGCGAGGGATTGAACTTCACCAAGAACCTGGGCATCTCGACCATCGACTTCGGTACTCTGCATCTGTACCCCGATAGCTGTATGTTCTTCCCAAGGTTTCCGTATGACGTATAAGAAGTCAATGGAACTAACATTGTTGGCAAGGGGGCACCTCCTACGACTGGGGCAACGGCTGGATCACGGCCCACGCGGCCGCCTGCAAGGCGGTGGGCAAGCCGTGCCTGCTGGAAGAGTACGGAGTGACCTCCAACCACTGCGCCGTCGAGAGCCCCTGGCAGCAGACGGCCGGCAACGCGACGGGCATCTCCGGCGATTTGTACTGGCAGTATGGCACCACATTCAGCTGGGGCCAGTCCCCGAACGATGGGAACACCTTCTACTACAACACCAGCGACTTCACGTGCCTGGTGACGGATCATGTGGCGGCCATCAATGCGCAATCGAAGTAGACTGTTGGCGTGGTGGAAGGAACAAGTAGCCTTAGTATAGGGTTAGCAAATGATTGCGGTGGAGAGAACAAATAAAATGGTGGTCAATGATTATCGCGTTTGCTGTTTCGGGGCATCATCTTTTTGTGGGTGCCTGGAGGTGCCTGGAGGTGCCTGGAGGTGCCTTGGGGTATCGTAGTTTATTTATAGGGCGGGAAGTGCCAAGGCCGAACCGCCACAACAGCTCCGCCTCGTTTCCCCAAGGCTACAACCCATCACTTTCTGTATAACATAACTCTGGATTATGTGTCCTCTCTGCAACAACCACACTTAATATGCTATCTATACCTATACCCTCCGCAATACCCAGTTAATCTCTCGTCTGTGCCTACTCTCCCAGAAAATGGGCCACCCGACCGCTCCACCCCCGTCGTACGAAGAAACCATCGCCGCTGGTCCAGTCACCCTTCAACCACCGCAACCTTCGACGATTTCTCCAACCAACCCTGCTCCCCCTCCTCCTATCGCCAGACCCAGCTCCACTCAAACCACCTCCGATGCCGGGGACAACCGCAGCGTCATGCTGGACCCCATCCTCAGCGAAGACCCGTCCGCCCTCCACGCGTTGATCGTGCGCCAAGCCCGGACCCCTCCGCGACCGTACCTGACCGTCCGCGGCTCCCACACCGAGACCCGCGAGGACTCCCACGATACCACCGACAACAACAACACCAACAACAACAACAACAACAAGAGCACGCGGAACGAGACGGTCGTCGACTTTGACTTCAAGATCGATCTCTACAAGTACATGGTCCGCGACTACGACGCGGTGCCCGATTACGAGGACGAGGTCGACGCGGCTCCAAACGAGGAAGAGGATCGCGACGGCTGGCGGGTGTGCAGTGTGGTGCGCGATGGGGACGGGCAGGAGGCGTATCGCGGCGGTCGCTCCCGGTCGGCGACCTGGGCCGGTCACACCCGTCGATCTGGCGGAGGTCATGTGGAGGATGCGTCGGAGGGGGAGATTGTGGGTCTGGTTGGCGAAGAAGGCGAGGAACCTGGGTTGATGGGCTGGTGTGACCGGTTCTGTCTGGACCCCGGGCCGGTCAAGTCGTATGTTTCCCTCCTCCCCCCCCCAATAGGGTGGTTGAGCCTCGTACTAATATGAGTGTTAAGGTTTCGCTTCACGAGGAGCATTGTCGGCTTCGACGTCGCCACCCTCCGCTCCCTCCTTATCTCCCACCTCCGCAACCTCAACTATCACGGCAATATTGATATCTCCATCACCCTCGCCAATAAGAAGCTGACGATCTACTCGCCGCACTGGATCAACGAGCTGCGCAACAACTCCTTCGCCTACTGGTTCTGCATCATCCTGCAGCTTTGGATCATCACCTGGCCGGTCATTTGGTTCCTCGAGCATCGCTACGACGTCGTTCGCGCGGTCTGGTACTTCTCCCGCGTCCGGGGGTCGCAGACGGTCTATGCGTGTCATCGGGACGAGGCGGCCATCGCGAAGGAGCTGGCGCCCATCGTCACGCAGGCGGCGTGGGAGCGACGGAGGAATGGGAAGATGCTGACTGCAAACGAGATGGATCTTCTACGCCAGCTGGGGACGGAAGGGAGCCAACGTCGCGTGGTTATGGTGTCTTGGGATCACATTGGTGGGTGGGGGAGAGATTCTTAACCATAACGAGCATGATTGCCTTTTGTCGACGATACCCTATTTGGTACTTTTGGTTTGTGCGTCGTTTGGAGCAGTGATACAATTTAAGACTAATGACCATTGATGAATTGATATTTGCTTGTTGTGGTTCTTGGTTTTTCTGAGCGACCGCCTACCATCATCCACTGTGCATTGGCCGAGTTTCTCAGACTCTCAACTGATCTGATCTAACCGAGGTTCGCGACTTGCCGTTGTTTGACTCCAAGCGAGCTCGCCAAGAAGTATGGCATCTCGCTTAACGTTGGATCTCGTGAGCGTTCTCGAGTCAAGACTTTCCAGAATGCCAGATATCTTACCCGGCCCGGTCGTCGGACCGGTCAAGTGGCTTTTTAAAAGGCCAGCCACTGGATCAGGGGTACCTGGATCCTGGAGGGGAGTGCTAGGAACAGATAAGATGCGCAACAACATGCTAGACCGGACTGGCGGGTTGGCAGGCCACCAGGGGACGTGGATGGGCAGCGCCAGCCATGCGACGGAGGGATTCAGCCTTCCAGAAGCCCGCCTTAGAAATTGCCTGCTTTGACGATTATGAGAAGTAACTTGGAACTTGGAAGGAAGATAAGCGACGCTGAAGTAGGTTAGTGTGATGACTGTGGCGCACCTCTCACAAGCCAACACAGTGACCGATTGGGCTTCCCCGCATCTTCTTATCGGCTCGTCTCACACAGCCTCTCTCTGTGTTACATCCGTCCTGATTGCGGGGATTCATCTTACTCGTCACAATCTCGCAAATTCACTGTCGCCAAGGTTGACCAACGGCTCAGTTCATGGGCTGGAGAAAACTTACGATCTCACGCTTATAATCGGTGAGGTCGCACGACGTTAGTACTCCGTCACTCGAAATGCGCGTCTACCGATTTTCCCCCGGTTGTCTTTACAACTAACCATCTCATCTCACCTCTGATCTCTCTCTTTTCCCATCTAACGTGTCCGCCATCATCATGGCCAGCCATTAAAAATCATCGGGGGTTACCCCCTCGCGCCCTGACCCAGAAGTTGCGACCATGGATGTTAAGCCCGGGACGATGATCGAGCGAGAGTTGTTCGATGAGCGCTACAAGCCCACCCAGCGTGGCCTCAAGAGTCGCCATGTCCAGCTGATGGCGCTAGGTCTGTTTTGCTGCCACGACCACAGTACTGCATCATCGAGCTGACCTTCCATGTCTTGCAGGAGGCACAATCGGCACCGGCCTCTTCGTCGGATCAGGTCAAGCGCTACACATCGGAGGCCCCCTGTCGCTGTTGCTAGGATACATCTTCATCTCGGGGCTCGTCTACGCGCTCGTCACCGGCCTCGGTGAGGTCGGGGCCTATCTCCCGACCCACGGCGCAACCATGGCCCACCACTCCGTCCGCTACGTGTCGCGCAGTCTGGGCTTCGCCATGGGCTACCTATACTGGTACAGTCTGGGGATCCTGGTGCCCTATGAGATCGTCGCCGCATCGATGGTCATCGACTACTGGCACCCGGACGTCAACCTCGCCGTCTGGATCACGATCATGCTGGTGGTGATCGTCCTCTTGAACTTCCTGCCCGTTTGCTTCTACGGGGAGACGGAATTCTGGTTCGCGGGCATCAAGATCATCACGCTGGTCGGCCTCCTGCTGCTGGCTTTCATCCTCTTCTGGGGCGGCGGGCCCAACCGCCAGCGCCTGGGATTCCACTACTGGAAGGACCCCGGCGCAATGAACACCTACCTCGTACACGGGGACGCCGGCCGCTTCGTCGGCCTGCTGCAGTGCGTCGTCAAGTCGGCGATCGCGTTCATCTTCGCGCCGGAACTCATCGTCATCAGCGGCGGCGAGATGGAGTCCCCGCGGCGCAACCTCCCCAAGGCCGCGCGCCGCTACATCTACCGCCTGGTGATTTTCTACATCCTCGGCGCGCTCGCCATCGGGGTGATCTGCTCGTCCAACGCCCCGCAGCTGATCAACGGCACCGGCACCGACGCCAGCTCGTCCCCCTGGGTGGTCGCGATCTCCAACGCCGGCATCCCCGTGCTGGACAGCATCGTCAACGCCGCGATCCTGACGTCGGCCTGGTCCGCCGGCAACTCGTTCCTGTACATGTCCTCGCGCTCGCTGTACTCGCTCGCCGTCGCCGGCAACGCCCCGACCATCTTCAAGACCTGCAACCGCTGGGGCGTCCCCTACCTCGCGGTCAGCGTCTCCGCCCTCTTCGCCCTGCTCGCCTACATGGCCGTCGGCAGCGGCAGCTACACCGTCTTCAACTGGCTCATCAACTTCACCAACACCTCCGGCTTCATCTCCTGGATCTGCTGCAGCATCGTCTACTTCCGGTTCGACGCCGCCGTCAAGGCCCAGGGCGTCGAGAAGCCCTACGCCTCGCGCCTGCAGCCCTACGGCATGTGGGTCGGCCTCGTCGGCTCGGTGTTCCTGGCCCTCATCAACGGCTTCACCTGCTTCTTTCCGTCCGAGTGGTCCGCCAGTAACTTCTTCACCGCGTACATCGGCATCCCTGCGTTCGTGTTGTTGTATTTCGGGCATCGTGTGGTCTTCCGTCGCGATCCGTGGGCCTGGAAACCCTCTGAGGTCGATTTGGTGTCTGGGCTGCAGGAGATTCTGGAGTCGGAGCGTCCGCCTCGGCCGAGGGAGACGTGGGCGCAGAAGTTACGGGTGCTGATTGAGTGATCCTTTCGGACGGGGGTAGGAGGATGGGTTGGTGGGTGGGGTGACGAGCGGTCGTTTTGCTGGTGGATGGTCATATTCTATAGTCATCCTCGAAGTCGAGATAGAGACCGCGAAATCTAATACTGAAGTCAATAAGAGTTCCCTAATATGAATTGAGCTTATAGGGTAGGCTCTTTCGGATATGCGTTATTGTCATGATGGGTAACGTACTAGCATTTGATGCAAGGAAACAAGGGATCCTCCTGGACTCCATAGCTTATTCAGTCTTGACTTTACTCCGTAGGCAAAACCCAGTGCAGGTTTCATAATTTATAAGTTCTTGCTAGACCTACGAGAGCCACGGTTGCGCTAGCTATTCTGGGACCGGGGACTGGGAACCATAGGAGAATGGCAACGTGGTTGCGCTGTGCTGGGTTGTTAGTGGGTAAAATTACAACCTATCAAAGCTCTTCCACCAATTGCTGCGCCCTTCAGGTCTGTTACAATCATGTGTTCGGTGTGCCTTGGTGACAGATTTCACATTTACAGATAAGTACCTTTAGCGGTGGGTCTTAAATATGTTCCATGGAGACGTTCTCGGAGCAAAGCGCTATTGAAATAGTATATCAGTGGTTGGGTTGTTTTAACCAGGATACAACCTTACTAATCATCAACATATTCAATTGAAGACACCCGATCCGCTTCAATGTGGAGCACACTCAGTCCAATTCATGTTCGAGGAACAAAGAAAAAAAGTGGACTACGGCCGACCTGGTTCTATCACCTTGGCTTTGTTGACAGGGCTGGCCCGCTTTGATCTGTCAACCCGCCCTATCGTTCTACGGTTTGTTATTTCGATTCATCGCACGCTAGCATATCCGGTTATGATCGGTTATGATGATCGGGCTCTTTTGACGACCAGACATGGGAGGTTCTGCTAGGTAAGGCCGGGTCTGGGTCCCAAGCGGGAGCCAGTCCTCATTTCCAGGAACAACACCGATGGGCCTTTGATCGGAGTGATTTGGGGAGAGATTTTGCCAATGCAACCCATCCACGCCAAGGCTCTGCACGATGGACTTGAAGTCTGGGCACTGCCTCACTGCTCACTCCAGCTGGACCACACTACAAACCCTTATACGCATAGTAAGCTTTGGAGAAAGGTCTAGAAGCATGTCCTCCCGAGTTCCTCGCCCTATGATGACCCTTTGCGGACGGGGATCCCTGGAGTCTCGAGGCGACAGGGGTCTGTATCGTGTGGGAGTGTCGCCTGGACTGAGGCGGTGCCGAGTGTTCGAAGATGCAGGCTCTCTCCCTCGGACGGTCGGTAGCATGGGTTGAGCTTTGCGGGACCGTGGAGACGTCTCATTGTCAACCAACTAAGCTCGTACACTTTCTTGACATGTATCTAGATCTCTTATGGTCCCGCAGGAGCGGTGTGCATCATCTATCTACCCTGCCAAACCCACACTTGCTTGCTGGTATCCGGGTACCGAACATTCTTTTTTTTTTTTTTCCTCTTATTTTTTTTATCAAAGAATCAATATCTTGGTGGGAAAATGCGAGAGGAACATAGAAAACAAAGTTTTATCGGTAAATTGCATTCCATCTCCCCCTCTCCATCATGTCTACGAGACGGGAACTACACCTTAGTGCACACATCTTATCATTCGACTGTTATAACCTAGGGGAGTTTCCCCTCAGATTCTTGTTGGCGGAGATCGGGCATTTCCAAATGTGACACTGTTCGTTCACTTTCCAGCATTAGCAGTCGCAGTGACAGTGCGCCCTGGGAATATAGAGGAAAAGATACCAACTCTACAGTACTCCGATAGCTAGGAAGCTAGGTAAGCGATGAAATTGTAGATCTACTTTGGCGTCTAAGCAAGTCACGAGACAATTGCCTAACAGACTAATTTCCGATCACGCTGGGCCCGGAGAGAGAATGATAATCTGGAGAAAACAGTACTCTCAGAAAAGAGCCATGAGAGCAATGAGACCGCGTGGCTTACCGAGATCATGCGACCGCAATTTGGACCAACGCCTTTTGTGGCTCGGCTGTTCCGGCGTTGACAAAATCAGTGACAAGCTAGATTTTGCGCCATATCATTGGAGGCCCATGCGTATCGTTCGTTGCATCTGGCGGATTGAATTCTGCAACGGGTAGCCCTGCAATGACAACGACGCTGAACACGGGCCAGACAAAGTTATTTCCCCCGCCAGGCGGTGAATGATACCCTACCTAGATTGGTGGGTGCCCCTAAAGTAAGCAAAGGCGGGCTCCAGGCTGGGAACAGCTGCAGGGATAGGATGCACAACCCCAATCACCCGCAGCCTAGCGGGTTATAATGTCCTAGGTATAGTGTACATGAGTTCTGCTCAAGACTCCACATTTCAAATGTGAGTACCTGAACAGCTTCATCCCGATTGGATCATTGCTGCACTGGCAGCCGGATACCATTCCAAAGGGTCGCCCAACAAGCCTCGGCGTGCTGCGCATCCGAAGGGTAACTTGAAGGCATCTCTAAGAACCGCGACGATCAATCTTCTCTAGCAGGATCCAAGCCGTCCCGGGCCAATCTGGTCCGTCAATGGGTGAAGAATTAAGTTCCAACATCGGAGTCAGTACCGTTCAACACGCGCCTGCTTTCCCCTGCTTCTTCGATCCTGGGCGGCGGGCGTTCCTGGGCTCGCGCTTCGACTCATCTCACTGACAAAAGAAACTATAAAGTGTCTCTTGAGTGTCCCCAAACATTCGACTCGACCATCAATACATCTCTTGAAGATCTCACAAGCAGAAGTTCTCACGGCCAGATATCATCAACATGCCTGATAATTCTAACTACCCGGATGAAAGGACTCCTGTCCCTCCTTCTTACTCCGAATTCGAGGAAGCAATGTTAGAGTGGGCTGACTTCATGGGAGAGAGACATGGCTGGTTTGACTTTGACCCCATGCAGAACTACGACTTCATGGCGCATACCCCGGCACACATTGATCCGCAACTCGATCGCCAACAGCACCCTCTGAATTCGCCGACAGCCCACGCTGGACGTTCCTCCCAGGTGAGAGAACGCGCTGGCTCGACCCGCAACCTTCGCCGACAACATTATCCCTCTGCTGGACATGTTCCAGGTCAACAGTCACCTGGCGCCCAGGTCACATCGCCTCGTAGCAGGCACACTGCCCGCCCGGCTTTCGCCGCAGAGCATCGCGATAGGTGCAGTTGCCCCCCCTTCTGCATCCCCCGGTCATCTTTCACGGCTAACGGCAAAGGAAGAGCCGGGTCAACCCCCAGCCCCGTCCAGTGCAACTGGAGAGGTTGCGGTACTCGCCCGACCTTCAACCGGCCACTCGACCTCTGGCGACATATCAAATCTCTTCATCTATGGCCGGGCTCTTACCGCTGCCCGGATGAAGGATGCGGCGAACTCTTCAACCGCAACGACAATCGCCACGACCATGCAATGCGCATGCACAGGCAGTAGGGTCCCTCGCTCATGGCCTTTCTTTCGGCGTGTCTAGATCCTCTTCTTGTGTACCTTGAGATCGAAGCCATCTGTGGTAGGGGAGCAGTGTGCATACCTATTGCCACTGTTTCTGGTTGCTGTCATTATTTGTCTTCTTGGTTTTGGTTCTTGTCGTTGCTATGATTGTCATTAGAAATATCCCTGTTGTTATCATGACTGCTACTGTTGTTGTTGTTCTTGTTCTTGCTGTTCTTGCTTTAGTCTATGATATAGATGTTGCCATAGATGTTTTCACTGCTGTAGTCTCTTATTGATCATATCTTCATGATACTTCATTTTTCAAGCCTACTGCAGATTCTGGGCTGTTTTCCTCGGCTGAAGACATCATTGTACCTCTCAGACGTCACCGACGATAAAAGGGATGGGGCGGTCAGGCGGGCTGCCGAAGGTGAAAACTACCATCATCAGCAAACCTAGTTTAGACAACTGGAGATCGGCCAACTATAGAAGGCTTATTTACAACCTTGATAGGAAAAAAAAAAAAAAAAAAAAAAAGGGGGGGGGGAGGGGGAGACCCGGGGAAGACTTGTATTCCATCGTTTTGTAGGGTCAAGGTGGTCTAAAACTTCTCAAAATCTCCATAGATCACGTCCAATTATCATATTGCTGTCGCGGGTGATGTACGTCAAAAGAATGGCGAGAGTTTCGGAAAAAAAAATATTAAGGGAGGGGAGGGCAATCACATGACCGGGGCTGGGTGCCCGCCGCCCGAGGGTCAGGAGTAAATCGATGCATCGCGAGGATCATGTCGATGTGGGAGAGTGCCGTTGTTCTAGTCCCGTCTAGCGGGTTATCCGACGGTGCATGGAGCTGCCATCTACCAGGTGCCTGATCATATGGATCCACTGGGATACGGGAAGCTAGGCAATTGTTGGGGGAGTGTTAATTGCTCCAGCATGGTCACAAGCACGAGACAGGACAAAAGGACGTATCGAGCCGACAGATGTACCTCGCATCACCAAGCCCCAGGGAAGACACTCGCATCTCAGAGCTCTGTAGCTGGCTGGGTCTAACTCAGAGATTGCGAAAACAAGTGCTTTTTACTGAGTATAAGATCAGGCTACAACCGAAGATTAGGTGAGTGACACGGGAAAGGAGGGTCCATCCGCGCCGCGCCAACGAACCGCCGCTAATAGCCGATCCCGGGGCCCTGTTGCTATGGAGTCTGGGCCCCCCACCGCCGGCGGCGCTCGATGGCCTAACTTTGGGGGAATATAAAAAGCAAGATCGTACAGTACCTTGCATGGAAGAAATACAGGCAATATAGTCCCCAACGAACTACACAACCCACTAGCTCAGAGATTTTGACATCAGCACTAGTGGTATTCTTTTCTCCCCTAATCGATACAGGTCGTGCAACTCTCTTCATTTCAGCTCTCTTGAGGTATCTAACTCTCGGCCAGAGTCACAGGATACGGTAAATCACACTGCACATACGGGCGAAGCCTCGGCCGGCACGCTAGAGTCTGATCATGCTTGCAAATGGGCTGAGGTTGACTGCATAACCTATTAGGAGCAATGAGTGATCCACTGTCCACTCTGCAGGACAGCAGACGCTAGTGCTGGTGGGACTTGTCTTTTTCCATCGTAGCAAAATTTGTTTTACTGACAAAGCACGTGAGTACCTAGTGCCGATGAGACCTAGTTGGAACTTGGCTATCTCACGTTTACCTTGTGTTTAAGGGTTCGTTGAGTGGATAGTTTGTGTTGCTACAAGATACTATACTTCTGCGCTATAGACTCATCCCACGAAAGCCGGAAGTGTGCAGTATTTTTAGGCGGTTGGGGACCCAGCCACACCTTCCTGTGTACTTGGTTGAGTTCGAGGCTTGTTGAGGCGTCACTTCATAAATAAGTGCTTGGCGGGCGTGCTTGGTGTGAGAAAGCACGTCAGCGCGTCTTTAACCGCGGGTAAACCGGAGTCACTGGCTGCGCAAAATCCTGGCAAAGCACTTCACGTAGACAAGGCTCGTGTTCGAATCATCGCTCGAGGTTCATTGACACCCGTTGGGTTCGTTACGTGTATGGAGCGTCGCTGAGCGGCAACTACTATCTTTCACCCCTTGTCTTATGGTAAGATGTCACCCATAAATCGAAAAGTAAGCCACAGGAGCTGAAAAGTGGTTTTTACGACCTCATAAATCACACTCAACAGAGATAGATTTTTGCAGCATCAATTTTAGTCGAGCTTGTAGCTCAAGTAGTAGGTCGTGACGAGGGAAGGTGATGACTCCTACTTCTTATGCTTCCTCAAGCCTGCTGTGCCTCGATACTCACCATTCCAATGCCTACGATGAGAACATGAAGTTGAATTTGCAGGTATTGAACAAAGAAGTGTTGAATGAAGACGTGTTCAACCAAGCAGCGACGATTGATCCTCGCCTCACCAGCCTTGACTGGCAATGGAGTGCGGAGAGTTTTGGGATTGAAATGGACACGATGCGATCTATGCCTTATATGGGGGGCTCACAAGTAGTCTCGTATGTGGGTGGAGCCACTTCTAGTTGCATTGTGCAAACGGCGACGGCGACCAATCAGGTCAATTCTGCTCAACTTTCTCAGAGACTGCGATTTGATGGCTCCTTCGCAGCGAACGCTTATGATGATGGTCAGATTGCTATTGCACAACACGGTCGCAGGTGAGCTTGGCATCATGCGGCTTTTCCGATAGCCATTGACTAACCGTTAATGATAGAAGCACAGATACAACCATTTATCAATGCTCATACTGCGAATGTACAACCGAATCCCGAAGAAAATGGAATCTCAAGAGACAAATTGAGGACATGCACACCTCGCTGAAGCTATACTATGGGCACCAAAACCGTGACTGTACCCATAAATACGAGAGGAGGATAATTTGAAAGCTCATTCTCATACGGGGCACCGGTTTTCCGGGCCCGAAATGGTCGGTAGAAGGATGTACAGTCTTTCTCCGGTCCTAGAGAGAATGTGAGCGAATCATCAGCATGGTAGAGTTTACCCACATCTGGGCATCGAAGTAAGTGAGTCTTTGTGAGCCACAGATACTCAGATATCCCGAAATACGAAGTCTGCAATGGATATATGAATATATTGTATCGATACTAACCCTGCTCATTGAATCTCCTTAGGTGCTTTTCATTGGAATCCAGATTCATGATACTCTGTTTCATGTTTCCGCAATTTTGGCGTGTACAAGCAGCTGTCTCTTGCCAATGGTATTACCTAGCAGACGACTATTAGCACGGCTGACGCACAAACAGAGTTTGATCTACGAAGTGTCAAATATAATAAGAGTATATTAGGATTACTTATCATGGTCCCTTCACTTACCCTGAGGGGGAGCAGAGTATTGAGTAGTCCCAGAAGAGTAAGTACAGGTCTCATTTGATAAAGTAAATCTAGTCTTCCGATCGTTGACAGAACAGACAGCACTCGATGTGCGCTGATGGATGACTCTGAGCCTGAGGCAGTGATACTTGATTGGCCATCGATGCCTATGGACTGTAATGCCTCAGGCACATGGCCCATCAGCCTATCATACCTCACCCCTTTGATCCACTCGAACAAGGTGTCGAGCCTTAGCCGCGGCAATATGCTACCTTAGAGGTGCCTCGGACAAGTTACCTAGAAGTTCGAACATGGTATCAAATGCCTAGATACTGGGTACTGCACACATAGAGGACACCACGGCTGCATCATAGAGCATTTCACAAAAAAGACAGTCAGAGACCCCATTTCACCGACCACTAATCTCCTAATATTTAGTTAGTCCACTGAACATTGTACTAATTTTCGAGTCGTGAATTCGGTGTCACTCAATGTTTCCCTGGAAAAGCTCCGTACATGATCAGTGCAGGGACGTATCAGAAATTGAGGCCGGTTGATCTGTAGAGCATTAAATCAACGGCAAGTGCAAACCTACTCTGGTCAGGGAAAGAGTCTCAGCAAACGAGTCCGATCTGTATTCTGACAATGGGCGTCGAAGAAGACCACTTCGTGTGAGGCAGGCGACGTGGCTGTCTTAACAATGTATATCGTTGTGGCTTGGATATGCAAGGATATTTGCTTATCTTCTAAGCTGTCAGCTCACGCTTTATGCAGAATCTTCCCACATTTTCCCATGCGCAAGCCTCTACACCTAGATCACTGCGTAAGCGGTCAATCAAATCGTGACCCTAAGGTCGGGAGCCTATTAGGTCGCGATATGCTCGGCGCCAACTCTACAGAGTGCACCACTTCTCAATTTCCTTCTACTTGTCAATGAACAAGCAGAGATTTCGGATGATGACTTAGTATCTTGACACCGGCCACTTCACCACGATCGCATCAGCCTAGCATTCCAATCAGGTGACTCGTGTTAACAGTCACCACTGTTAATTCTTCCCCACCGCAACATCTTGCAGATCGTTGCGAAATCACAAGGGACCTACCTATATTTTATTTAGAGTAGCATTGCGCTTGAGCCTAACAGCGCGCGACCACCGACACAGATACTGCGCCGAACCGTTAAGAAGCTTTGCAGTTGTACAATGCAAAGCCAGGGGTATAACTTCGGTACACCGTACACACAGTATACTACTTAGTATGTGTGACTCTTGGGGTCTTGAAGGAATGCATAGTGCTTATGTAGTTTACTCAGTACATCGCCAATCATCAAAGCACGGATAAATTCTGGGAAGGGTCTGGTCTCGCCACCAAGGGGTGGATCGCCAGGGGACACTAAGCATGCGCGACCCGCCGATCCACTTATCGACAGCCGCAAACTGCGACCGAATTTGCTGCTGAGAAGCTCGAGAACGTCATAGCACAGGGAAAGTGCCTGATAGAGGAAAACTTTTAACCGCAACCATGCAGGGCCGATACGTCACTTTCCATGATCGCATCAGTAGGTTGACCACGGTTCGGGTCTCGGGTTCCGGTCCCATCCTGGACTGTGTTGTGAAAGGAGAGAAACCCTAAGTCGATAACAAGCTTGATGGTCGAAAACATGTCACAGATCGGATTGTGTCAACTCATTGAACATTATCGCTCTTCTAATTTCGATCATTCATTGCTTTTCAGGTTGATAAAGAGATTCGCAGGCTAAAATCTTCCAGAATGCTGAGTAGGAGCTGGTGATAAAAATTCAAGCATGATATCATAAGCATTCCATGTGGGTCTGCCCCTGCTGACCGTCCGAATTCCACAGAACGATTATTCGCCCACGATCAGTCCTCTAGTGCCATAGAGTTCCATCAGAAGCTCGGTCCAACGCTACGGTGTCGCTCATGTGTCTATGACACCATCAACAAAACCGGAAATGTGTCGTGACAACCACAGGCACTTCCTGGCTCACCATCTAAAATTTTCTTCAGCCAAGAGGATTAGATTATCTATTCAGGAAAACATTGCTATGTTAACACAATCCAACGCATCACATGCCATAATTTAGTCAATCTTTCTACTGCCGAGAGTGAAATCGTCTCTGGGCCCGTGGTGCTGTGTTGGTCGGAGACCGAATTGTGGATCGGCACCGCCAAGTGGAGGCCGTCCCGACCCCCCATCGGGACCAACGGGAATCAACCGGTGGAGGTCGAAGGGGGCGAACTATGACAACATTCCACAGTTCAGCATAGCATGCGCATCAATTGCCCTAATAGCACGACGCATCGACGTAGCATCATGTACACACACGAATATACGAGTAAATAGTTCATCTGTTTTAGGAAAGTCCCACGACCTTTAAAAATTCTTTCTTCCCCGCCTCCCCCTCCTCTGCCCCGCTCGCTCCACGTTCATGGTTCTTTTTCAACCCCGAACTTCCCCCCTTCGATATGAAATTTTGCTACTAGATCTTCCCTCAGTACACCTATATTATTTACACAGTACGGTAAAGAACTCATATCATGGTCGACCCCTTAAGCCGGGCCGAATCACAATCACCGAGCAGCAGCTTCTCCGACAAGGAGAAGGGCAGCGACAGTCAGGATAGCGGGGATCGCATCGTACCTCCCTGGCATGGAGGCGCTGAAGATGAAGTTGGCTCGCTGCATTCGAACGGAAAGCGAGAATTGAAGGAAGAAGACTGCTACGATAAGCTGGCCTACTGTTGGCCCCGCTGGAAGAAATGGACGTACCTCGCGGCCATCGCCTGTGTCCAGGTCTCCATGAACTTCAATACTTCCGTCTTTCCTAATGCTGTGAAGCCTCTTTCCAAGGCCTTTGGCATCGGTCAACAGGAGGCCCGAACGGGACAAATGATCTACCTGATCACGTACTCCATTGGGTGTGAACTATGGGCGCCATGGAGTGAGGAATTCGGCCGGTGGCCGATCCTCCAGCTCTCTATGTTTCTTATCAACATTTGGCAAATCCCGGCTGCTTTGGCCCCGAACTGGGGAACAATTTTGGTCGCTCGTGGATTGGTAGGTTCTCACCCAAGTTTCCGAGACTGGCAGTTCAGCGACTAAGAGGTATATCATTATAGGGCGGAATCTCAACGGCAGGCGGTAGCGTCACTCTTGGTTTGATTGCCGATCTGTACGAGGCGGAAACACAGCAATTTCCCTTGGCTTTCATTGTTTTGTCATCCTGCATCGGAACTAGTATTGGTGGAGTCATTGGTGGTCCGATCGAACGCTGTAAGTGATGGTCCTAGTCTGGCATTGTAGCGAGGAAAAAATATGTACTGACCGCATCCCATCAGTCCTGGACTGGCAATGGTTCTTCTGGATCCAGCTCATCTTCGGTGCTGTCACCCAAGCCATCATCTTTTTCATGCCCGAGAGCCGATCCACTATCCTCATAGACCGCGAAGCCAAGCGCCGCCGCAAATCCGGCGAAGACCCCAACATCTACGGCCCCAACGAGCTGAAAAAGCCTCGAGTGTCCCTCAAGGAAGCCGGAAAGATCTGGGTGCGCCCATTCTACATGTTCCTGCGGGAGCCGATCGTCCTCTGTCTGTCGCTACTATCCGGATTCTCCGATGCGCTCATCTTCACCTTCCTAGAAGGCTTCAGCATTGTCTACTCGGAAGGCTGGGGCTTCGGGGTACTAGGCCAGGCGTGGGCGGTCATCCCGATCAACGTCGCCTACGTGATCGCCTACTTCTCATACTTCCCCTGGTTCTGGCGCGACGAGCACATCCGCAAGACACAGGGCGACGATGCGCTGCCCCCGGAGCGCCGGCTGAAGTGGCTGCTGTACCTGGCGCTGCTGGAGCCAATCGGACTATTCGGGTTCGCCTGGACTTCGCTGGGCAAGGAATATGGGGTGCCGTGGATCGTCTCCATGATCTTCTCAGCCATGGTCGGTATCGCCAACTACGCCATCTACCTCTCGTCGGTCGATTACATGGTCGCCGCGTACGGTGTCTACTCCGCCTCCGCTACCGGCGGCAATGCTTTCTGCCGTGACCTGCTGGCCGGTATCGCGGCCATGTACACCACCCCCATGTACACCAACATCGGCGACAAGTTCCACGTCGAGTACGCTACGACCATCCTGGCCTGTCTGTCTTGTCTGGTCGTCATCCCCATCTACGTCTTTTACTGGAAGGGCCCGCAAATCCGCGAGCGCAGCAAGTTCGCCCAGACGCTGGCCGCGGACAACAAGGCGAACCACGGTCATCGCGTGAGCAAGGCCTCCAGTGTGAGTCGCTTGAGCTCGCTATAAACCTACTCGTGTGGTGCATTTTTCATCTATTGTTCCCATTCCTGCATACATATTTTTTCAACCATTGTACATACATACCCACGAGGGTGAAAGGAGGTAGCTTGATGCATGTTCAAACCTTTTCGAATTATCCAGCGGTTTCCGGCAGACATAATTCAAGTAGGGGTCACGAGATGAGAGATATATCTGGTATTCCCGTTAGGGCTTACCAAAGGCCCTTGCGTAAGATAGCGAGACTCAAACCTTGTATCCCTTGATTTCCTGTCCATGCTATGAAACGTAATACGGTTTCGCTCGAAGCGGTGCGCTGATCCGGACCGTCCCGTAGGAAGCCTCTAAGAACACACAGTTAGCGCAGCAGCCCAGCGTGTCGCCTTGTTCTGACCTTGGATAAGCTGTCCACGGCGTTTTACCGCTCGGGGAGGAGATTAGAGCCAAGACAACTTTGGCAGCGGTGATTGGTCACACGCACTACAAACCGTTGGCATTAGAGAGCTATCGCGACATGAGGTTTAAGAACAATAGTATCATAGACTGAAATCGAAAAAAGGGATATCAAACGTCTCCACATCAATCTGGGAATATCTTCGGGGTGAAATAGCCTCAAAAGTCTGCCGAGATCAAGATCACAGAAACGAAAAGGTCCAGGCCACTCTTCTCTCCGCTCAAATCCGAGCTATACCAACTCAGTTCGGCCGGGTGTTGTCGGTGCTCCAGCAAATCATCATGACGGTTAAACAACCGGCCGCATTTGGGGAAGAGACACACATACGACCCAGGAGCAAGGTGGGTGTACCGGATGTGCCGCCAGAGGTCGGCCTCTCTGTTGAAGGCCGGGCGGCTGGGACAATCCCTTCAGTCGCATCAGATGCCGGTTATGTTACTGCCTTGGCTGCTAATCTCATCAGAAAAAGGAATCCAGTCAGCTTGGACCGGGTCTCATCAGTCTCTTTTATCAGAAGACGACGGAAAATGGGCAAAAATACCTGGACCGGCGCCCCGCTACTGGTGAGAATGCGAGAGGTGGGTGGCTCAGGCATGGCTTCTTTGAAGATGTTGCTGCTACCACTGCCGCTGGCCCCGGTTTGAGTAGGAAAAGAGATTTGATCGCGTACTCTTCGTCTGGTTTCAACGACAGCCGGAATGGTGTTGATGCTTTGGCCGCTGGGGCCGCTGGCGAGTGTGTGCAGCGAAGGATGCGTATGGGTCCCCCATGGGTCAACAAGGTAGGGCACCGCGCCGGGAGAGAGCGCCGTGCCGAGGGGGGCCGTATGCCATTGCATCGAGGGGTTCAGGTACGTTGGCGTGGCAGTGAGCTCGGAGGATCGAGCCGTGGGATCTTGGTGTTGTGGGGGAGCACTTGTGCCAAGCATTGAGTTGGCTGCAGGTCTCGCCGGTTGAAAAGATGCTGCTATGCTGAACGTCCCGGGGTCATCTTCCGGGTTATACGAATACGAAAAGACCATGCTAGTCCACCCACCAGGCAAACCTTGGGTATCGGTAATAATGGTACTCAGACAAATGTGAGGCTGAGGTGCTCTGGTTTCGAAAAGCTGTTCGAAAAGCTGCCAGATAGATGAGGTTAAATACTTCCGAATGTCCCGTGGGTGTTGGGATTCAAAGCGATGAGATGGCGATGTGTTACGGCGATTGCTTTGGTGCCGGCCCTGACAGGCACACCAGAAGAGCCGCCTTGTTTGGCGCTTACAGGACCATACAGCAAGCCATGTTCACAGTGACCTTTCCTAGCTGTGTGTTGAGTTGGGGGGTGGATGTACATGTACGAAGCAACGTTAGGGGGTTTCACAAATGGGAAATCGATACGAGAACTGGGAAGAGGTAGCAGGGTGGTCACACTCCAGGAGTAAAATGACTTCACAGCCAGTCCCAGAGGTTTTCTAGCCAGTTTCACAACATTAGCCAGGCTATTCGGGCTCGACAAGAGGACACCGCCACCGATCTTTATTGGCCCTGCGTTTGGTCACTGGTTCTAAACTACGCCTCGGGGCTGCCGATTTGATTTGCACCATAATTTGGGTGATTTGCCGCTATTGAGCAACTCTCCTGTCCAGACCGTCGTCTAATCAATACCTGGGCTCATCACCAACGGCCTGACAGTGACGGGATGTCTGATAATGCATTGCCGACAACTGTATGAGCCTGTATATTTACCCCAGCTCTGATCACCACATGGACGGAGGGGAGAGTAGAGGTGTAGAGAGTGCTATCAAGGATGACTGACAATTGAATTCTTTGCCTTAGTTCTTCTCTTGGCTTTGTATTCCATCCATGGATCTCATTGGCTCGGTCAGAGCGATACTGAGCTTGCCTGCATGCATGAGCCTTGAAGGATCCCTAACAATAGAGGCATCTGATTCGTTCATCCTGCGCGATTTGCGTGCAATATGTATGGATGTACTAGGTAACTGTTGGCATGAGATAAATCTTGACGTGTCTCATATTTCCAGCAAAGTAGCATATTTTAGGATGGGGTCTGTATTGCGGCTATGGGAAGTGAAGAAGCTGCGCCCTCCTGGATGATACGTTGCGTAACGAATAGTCTCGGTGTTTACATCGCACCCTTCTTGGTCGCATCCGAGGTAGTTCTGCCAGGATCGATGATGGCGACATTTCCCATTGAGGATGGGCAATAACGCTACACCCACGGCATGTGAGTGAGGCTGACAGCTAGTTTCTATACGCGGTCTGCCTTGAGCAGAAAGGGTTATGTGTGTTTAACTACTGTTGAACAGCCCGCAGGTAGCTCGGAACTCTAAACGTACCGTACATAGGCTTTCCTACGAACTGCTTTCTGATGTGTTATATACTTACTGGTCCTTGGCCCTATCAATCGATTCCCAGTTAAGCCTCTCGGCAAATACTGACAGTGGCAGTAGTGCTAAATGGGTGTACGGGTCAATGAGGTTGTTGATTCATAAAAGGCGGAAACATGCACAAGGAAGGAAATATATCTCAAATGCGCCTACCCAGTAGTCCATAAAATCAGCCCATAGAATGCCTGAACCACCGTTAGAAGACTTGCCTAAGCATCTGCTTGATGTTCTACCACCGCATTTATTAATTTAATTGTGCATAGCTAGTCACAATGGAGGTGAAGGGCAAAGTGTGCTTCAAGCCCCGTAGGCCTAGACATGGACAGGATTATCAGTAATGCTTGTGATATAAAGGTATCAAGGTAGAACTACCATAACAAGTAGCCCGGCTAGCTCAATCGGCAGAGCGTGAGACTCTTAATCTCAAGGTTGCGGGTTCAACCCCCGCGTTGGGCTTTCCCTTTTTATCTGTTTTGTATTCCAATGCCCGGTTTATCTCTCCTTGATGGAATTTTTTTCAGTGTTGCACAAATTTTCTTGAGTCTCCACTGCCCCGCTGCCCAGAATAGTAGGCGGTGGCAAAAAACCCAGATGCGAATCACCGGAGCAGTCAGCAATAATGTTCGGCTTGAAATCACAGGCAGATATTCAGCTCACAATCTCACTACACAAGTTAGGCCTCACGCCTTTTATGCCAGGTTTGATTAGATAGTACTACCAACTCTGAAGTCTTCTTACTCATCTCATCAATGAGCCAAACCTTTTGCACATGCCTTGTCGGTTATACATCCTCTACATTCACCATTTTGTGCAGACGAGAGTATGGAGTCTGGCTCAAGTAGTCGTCTTCTGATCTAGATGGTATGTGTATCTTGCACGATTGACGACTTCAAAGATCACCGCCGTCTTCTAAGTCTCCATCACGATCGATATAGTCACGACAACAGTAGAAATAAGTACATACGACCACAGGGTGTGGAAAACAGGGCTTCCCGTCCGCTCAGCCGTACTTAAGCCACACGCCGGGAGGTTAGTAGTTGGGTGGGTGACCACCAGCGAATCCCTTCTGTTGTATGTTTTTGCTCAGCATTTTTGTTTCTTACTCGGCTCAGTTACTAGACAGCTTTGCAAAGCGCTGTCTTGACAACTCCAATATTTGCACTGGAAAACGGCAGAAGGAGATGTGTTTTGCAACACTTCCTGGTCTTGTTGTGCAAGATATCATAGACTCCGTCTGCCAGAACCTTATTGCTGAGGACGTGGTTTGGTGGCTTGTTGAACCAACTGATCTCCCACTGATAACCTGCCTAGAATCTGTGTAAGATGATCCTGTGCATCAAAGACCTTCGAAGTCCTGAGAAATCATTGAATCATCATATCTGCCAAGAAGCCAATTGCACTTTCTTATCTAAATGCCATGTCGTCAGGACTGTCGCTATCAACCCATCTCTCTTCTCCGACCCCAAGCCCTGACCCTGAATCACAATGTTCTTCTCCGTAATCCTGATTTCTCTTCCTGTAATTGACATCTACGCATACAAGATCCCCGAAAACCTCATCCAAATCTACCACGACCGCGGGACAGGATGTAAGAATGTCGTTGCCTCTGGCTTCAACGACGGCACCAGTGCCTCAAAACCGACCCAATACTGCGGCGACATCGCCGGGGCGTTGTTCATCAGCTCCGCCGGCGGATACGGAGACATGGACGTGGACTGCGACGGGGCCTCTCCGACCTCGGGAGGCTGTCGCAACGACCCTTCTAAGCAGGGCCAAACTGCCTTCCACGATCGATTCCGGCAGTACGATATCGACGATCTGAACGCATTTGTCCACCCCTATGTCGTCTTCGGAAACACGAACTTTGACCCGCAGCAGTATGGCATGCAGCCGCTGAGCGTGATGGCCGTTGTTTGCGGTGGACAACTGGTAAACCTGTGCCCCCCCCCCCTGCAAGATTCACTTTCCACAAACCACTGGGTGGATTACTCGACTAACCTAAGTGCATGGCGCTAGCACTACGGCATCTGGGGCGATACGAACGGAGGCAGCAAGACCGGGGAAGCATCGCTCGCGATGGCGAGGCTGTGCTTCGGGTCATCGATGGACGCCAATAATGGACATAATGAGGCAGATATTCTGTATATTGGCTTCACGGGGGCCAACGCTGTACCTGGCAAAAGTGCAGCGTGGACGACCACGACCCCGGAGGACTTTGAGCGAAGTATCAAGCCACTTGGGGACCGGTTGGTCGCTGGCCTGAAGTGAGAACTACCTGTGAGGCTGTGTCACAGACTTTGTGGACAAGGGAGATACTGGCGTGATTCGATTGAAGGCTAACGAACCTTACGTCTCTTGGGCACAAATTATTACAACTATAATGATCAGCCAAAGCATGTATTATCCAGTATCTCCAATTCTATCGCCTTCTATAGAATACAAACATTTCACTCCACCGCATAGCTAATCTTCGAAATCCCCTTACTCCTCGAAATCTTGCGCACCTTCGTGGGCCCACACAGATCCGTCGTCTCGACATGCGTCCCGCCACACGGGTAGACCTCCGCGCCGACAATATGTACGACGCGAAACTTCTCCCCAGCAGGAACTCCCAGCGCCTCCCGATCGGGGATCAGCCTCTCCAGCCCCTGCACCCGAAAGTCTTCCTCATCCCACCACTCCACCTGCACCGGCAGCTTGGCCGCCAGAAACTCATCCACCTTGCTCTGGATGGGCTCCTTCCACTTCCCGTCAATTAGACCCCGGAACTCGCAGTTGGCCAGGTCGGGGAAATGCGAGGCCTTCAACTCGTCGAAGTCCGCAACCTCGTTCTCGAGAAGATGGCGCACCGCGGAGCCGAGCACGTGGCCCGCAGTGTGCAGGCGCGAGTACAGGAGCCGCTTCTCGGTGTCGATCGCCTGCTGGATCGAGTCTCCGGCTTTGAAAATTGCGTCCGTGCCGGCGGCGGCCGCCTCGAACCGGCCGAGGTGGAGGACCTGGCCATCGCGGGGGGCTTGGCCCATCCGCACGGCTGTGACGGTGAATTTGGTGGCGGTGGCGGTATGGCTCAGGGTTCCCACGTCGGAGGGCTGGCCGCCTCCTTGCGGATGAAAGATGGTTTGCTCTGTGATGACAATGTGGTCTTCATCGTTGCCTTGCTTGAAGAGGAAGCGGTTGGATTCCTCGAGGGCAGAGAAGGGCAGCACGGCTGTTACGGTGGTGTCAAGCGTATGGAGTTTCGCGTCATGCTGGTAGGCAAGGAATGTTCGTGGGGCGTTGGAACCCATTGTGAGGTTTCGTGCTGTAGTGAGTGGAAGGGGACGACGTAGAGAAGCAGAAGCTGTTCTTAGCATTGAGGTTCTTGGGAAATGCGCAGATGTGTCAGTTCTTATCTGGGTTGAGTTGCGGCGATCGGGAATGGGAGATAGATCGGGAATACCCCAGCATCGGGAATATCCCCGCTGCCAAGACCGGTCATCCGAAGGGCGCGAAGATGACATGCATCTCTATGCATGGCTTATCACGACTATAGTATATAGGTTCTCTGGGTCGATCTATTTGATTCTACCCATACTGAAACACTGTCAGCCAATTGAATCTAGACTCTTAACGTCATTTGTTGTGCATAACTTACTAAGGCTCATAAACTATGGGTCTTCAAAGCTTGAACTCCTACCTGTCTCTGTAGCGAGTAAGCTTATTCCGCATTTGTCCTGTATTCGACATCGTGCACAACATCCACCATATATATTGTGCGTGTATAACTTTTCCGGCAGATTGAAATTGCTTAAAAGCCCTCAGGCGTTAGCACATTAGATGTCATACAGATGCCTGGACAGAACAACACTACCGAATCAACCCGAGCAAGAAAATAAATGGGAAAGGAAAAAGAAAAACGAAATACAAACACCAAGGAGCTGTCCGATCGCCCATCTGTGAACAGTCAAATGTCAAAGAAATCCTCACATTGTTTCTGAATGTTGAGATCGATTCATGCGGCGGTTGTCACAGGGCTCACTGCTGGCAGGACATTCATATTCCATTGCCGTCGCTGTCTGTGGTCAACGTCGCTCTCCCTCTGGTGCATTGATCGCAATCTACAGCCTGTCCACTCTTGAGCTGGACCAAACGACCGTTGAAGTTCGTGTTCGATTCCCTCCCTTGAGGACAACATTGGCCACAAGCTTATTCGAGCCCTGTTTTCACGAGGTTGACGAATGCCAGGCGTCTGGGATTTAATATCATCGATGATATTAGCGTCGCAATCGCGGTTGGTTCATGTTAGAGACGCCTTCTAAGCTGGCACCTGAGGTGAGGGTAGCTGAGAGGGCTAGTGGGGCTAAAAAGGATAGCTATAACCTTGTAGAGGTGTGGCTTTGCAGGTGACGCTTCGTGGTCAACGAATGGACAATAGCGCAGCTGTAGGCGATACTACCCGAGTATCATGTCGCATGCAGGTGGTGTGGGTTGAGATCGTATCCATATCTGCACCATAGTATGACCACAACCCATGTCGCCACAGATGTCTGGCACTTCCGGGTTAAAGATCGCATAACGCCAGGAAAGGTGTGGCTTAGATTCAAAGAGTCAAAACCCGAAGCGATCAACTATGTTCGTGATGATTCGATGCCCAGATCCACCCTAACGGTTCCATAAGTTGGAACATAGCTTGTAGATTATATAAGCACTAACCCAGGTGGATGGTCCTTAGATCAAGATATAGTAAAAGTACGGCGTCAATAATGTCTCTGTTTTGATTCTTGCCGCCATGAGTGCTTGCTGGCACGATTCACTGTGTTCTGGTGTTGTCGCTACTGGTTAGCGAACCTTAAGTCTCAGGCGGTTGACTAGGCTCATTAATCAGCCTATCTCTTCCTGAGCTAGCTCGATAAAGTCTCTGACTGCAAAGCTCATGAATAGCATTATCGAGTGGTTCCATGGAACGTTTCGAATTCTTTATGACTCCGTATACAGGTGGGGGCTCCGCTGGGACGGGTGCATCAATTTTGCACTCTTTCCATGGTTAAGGTTTCGGGAAGGGCAAGACAAAAAAGAGAAAAATCTTCTTCCTACGTACTCCGTCTCCAACTGAAAAGCATTGTTCAGCACAGTTGAAGTAAAGTCTCCGCCGCTTCATTACTAATTTGTCTCATTTGTTTTGGTAGGGAGACAATCCAGCTTCATAGATCATACCTAGCATTGACCGTCGAAATATCAAAGGTCGAACCCAACCCACTGTGCCCAAAGTTGCTGAGCTGTTATAAGTATAGGATGCAGCCAACCATACACATCCTTCAGACTTTTCATGGCTAATAGACCATTCAAAGCTGTAGGCTGTTTGCGATGGCCACTGGTGATGTGTTCACATCTTCACTGGGGCTACTGACCTAGGGGAACGCAGATCTTGATCCCTTTCTTTTTTGACAAGGACGCCTGATATAGAGATAGAGGAGAATTATGCGACTGTCAATTATGTCACTGTGTATGCTTGTTATTGAAGTCACGTGAGCTGGCTCCAAGTCATTCGATATGAAAACCACCTCTAAATATGAGAAAGCCTGGCCCAATTACCTGAGGCATCGCCATGGCTGTTAAAGTCTCAATGGAATTTGGGCTGTGGACCATAGCTTTGGTCAGTACGTCGAATTCCTCTTGACTGTCGCGCTGTGCCCCGAGACGGGTTGCACAGAACGTAAATCTTCCACTTACCATGCAAAAACTCAAGTCAAGAATCACAAAATTTTTATTCATATAATGCTTGACAGGTCATAGATAAGTCATTATTCGAAGGAAAATGCATATTACTTTTCTCACTACGGTATTAACAACAATCCGATCATTCGCAGGAAAGAGAAAGATAGGGCACGTATCTTACCGTCATATATTTACAATACCCTATACGTCATCCAAGCAGCTCTCACTCTACCAACCAAGCACCAGCGTATCTTCCTGTCATCCCTGTCATCAATGCCCAGCATTACTTCGGCGGGAATGTCCGAAATATGAAACCAAGCCCGAAGTGCCACCGGGCTGGTCGGACAGAAAAAAAATACTGGATACGTACTGAGTAACCCTCTCCTATTTTACTCTTCTTGTGCCCTAACCTTACGTGACCACTGACCATAGATGCTGTGCTGGCACCCGAACAGAAGAAAAAAAAAACCTAGACGGGTGAGGCTTGGGTGAGAAATGGTGCCCCGCCGACCCGGTATGTGGGTCCGCTGAGGTTCGGTCAGTCTCCGACATCGAAGATCGGGACTCAGAACCAGGCTTTGCATGCCGGAATGAAGAAGAGGGCTATTCGTTTTCGTTCGATATCGGG